CCTCTGTGGGTCACCCAGCCCAGCCCCCTGCCCAAGCAGGGTCACCCAGAGCAGGCTGCACAGCACCGCGGCCAGGCGGGGCTGGAATATCTCCAGAGAAGGAGACTCCACAGCCTCCCTGGGCAGCCTGGGCCAGGGCTCCGGCACCCTCAGAGGGAAGAAGTTCTTCCTCGGGTTCAGCTGGAGCTTCCTCTGCTCCAGTTTGTGCCCGTTGCCCCTTGTCCTGTCGCTGGGCACCACTGGAAAGAGTCTGGCCCCGTCCTCCTGACCCCCACCCTGCAGATATTTAGAGGCATTTCTAAGGTCCCCTCTCAGCCTTCTCTTCTCCAGGCTGAACAAGCCCAGCTCCCTCAGCCTTTCCTCGTAGGAGAGATGTTCCAGTCCCCTCATCATCCTCGTAGCCCTCCGCTGGACTCTCTCCAGTAGCTCCTCATCTTTCTTGAACTGGGGAGCCCAGAACTGGACGCAGTGCTCCAGATGGGGCCTCACTAGCGCAGAGGAGAACGAGCTTTCACGTAGCGTAGCCTGCAGACATCACAGCTATGTCCACACTAGCATTTAGTGTGGTCTGCCAGGAACACGTTTGATGATCCAGAGTCCCTGCTTCATGATGCTCCTTACCTTGCGCTGGTTCTGGGCTGGTCCCGGGGCGGAATGCCTCTCAGCAGGTGGAGCGCAGTAGAGCACGTTGTCCAGTTTGTGCACGCGGAGACTCCTCTGCAGTGTGAACCAAAGCATGGTAAGTGGGGGTGAGGAGGAGATTCATTACAAGAGAAGGCTCTCCATGCAGCAGAAGGTGTTAATATGGACTGATCCTATAGCAGCTTTCGCTTTACAAACTGCGCCCACGCAGAGAGTTATTTCCATACACGTCCAGCATATACAACAAAGCAGCATGCTTTTACTGTGCTAGAAATTTTGTTAGAATGCAAAACCTTAAGTGAGACTTGCTGCTGTAAATGGTCTGATGCAGCAGTCAGCCTCACCAGCTGGCTGCTGAATGATGCGTATTGAACTTGTGGAGGCTAAAGGTGGGGTTTCTTGCTGCCGTGAAATGGAAATGCAGTCATCGTGTGCCGTCGTCTTGCAGGCAGAATGTGGGATCGCACAGTCTTTTGATGGAAAGTTGTGACATGTAGGAGGAAGATATGTTAGCTGTGCATTCTCTTTTTGAAAGGTCTTGTAAATGTGAGAGATGTACCAAAAATGTATTTCTTGTTTTGAACTAAGACGGTTCTGGTATATAAATTTGATCTGGTGACAGCTCTGCAGTGGGTTGTTCCAAGGAAGTCAAAGGGGCTAAGTGCCTAGAAGAGCTCCAGATGTTACTGATTTTTTTCTTGTTATTAGCAATTACTCACTTGGAATTGTCTAGCAGTTTTTCTTCTTAATAACAAACTGTGGAAGAGTCAGCAGAATCATGACCAACCAGATCATGAAACTGGCCAGTGGTAGGAACATGTACAAGCTTAAAAAGAAGCAGCGTTTCCAACAAATGCTTATTTGGACTTACTCATTTTTTCTTATTATATCAAGAAGGATTTTTTCCTACAATGTTTGTACTTAACCAGTTCTGGCTGTATTCTTCAGAAACTGCAGTATTCATTTAAATGTAATTTTACTGCCCAAGATACTGCTCCATCCCCAAAGTCATATTTTGTATTTTAAACCGTTTGTCTTTTAAGATGTATTTATTGCCATGTTTGTTTAACTTGGTTATCTCCTCCATCAATCTATTCCTTGCTAACTGAAAGCTGCTGCTCTTTGTTTTTGGTATAGAAGGCTGCTTCCCTAGGGATGTAGAGTCCAGGACTTGTCTCTGTAATGGGACTATTTGTTTTCTTTGCCCCTTGCAGTTGCCTGCTGTAACATTTGTAGCATGTGTTAAGTAATCCTTGAGGTAACATTTTTATTATGTCATAAAAAATGCGTGGCAAATATATAATAACTCATGGAATTTGTTTGTTTAAAATGGAAGGATAATTTATGGAGTGTGTTACATGAGACCTGCTCCCCCTTATTAGAGCTGTAGAAGTGCAGCTTATTTAGAAATACGTTCTATTGAGAAAAACCACGATCTCCGACTTGCATAGAAAGTTTCAGCATGGTTGGGTAGAAATGACATCATAGTTTATGTACTCAATAAAAATTTAATTAAGTCATTACAGAAGTTGCAGTCATCATTTAACCCTCTGATTTCTTATGTTTAGTTCTTTTTTTTTAAACATTCAGTAATAACCAGTCTCCAATCTTGATAGCCTATAAAATGTCTGCATGAATTTTAATAGTGTATATTAATGGATAAATGTGAGTAACTGACATAAAAGGATTTTTCCTTGTGTTTGCGCTATGTGCGTTTCTATAAAAATCAGCAGATGAAAAAAGATAGTGGTTTAATGGAGGAGTATTTGAACTGGAGATTTGCTAACATGGCAAAACCGAATTCATGTTTTGATGGACAAGCTGATGCATAATTACCAAGATCAGTACTCTAAAGAATACTAGGAAAGTATCTCGGACGTGTGGCTCACTGTTGTAGCTGTTCAGGCTTTGGATAGGTGCGTGTTCAGAGCTGGTCTGTAGCCTGGGGAGGAGCCGTGCAGCAGACGGTGCCTGTCCCGTGGCGGAGCTGGGGTCCTGCCCTGCGTGCCGGTGGGCAGTTTTTGTTGTGGAGCCTGTCTCCCAGACGCAGTTTCATGTGTGAGTGTTCTGCTAGTATGCAAGCGTGAAGATAATTATCCTGGGCATGTACGCGTGTGTTGTATGCGAGATCTGTAGCAAACAAGTGCTGAGTAGCTCATAGGTCTCTGGTGAGAGTCAGTAGAAAGAAGCAGCGTTCCCAGCTGAAGGGTAGCTTAGCCCTGAGGAGAGGAACTGGTCAGTAAATCGTTTCGGTGACAGAAGTAAAAAGCACAGGCAAAAGCAAGACAGTTTGTATGAGGGAGATGCACACGAGGGGTTCAGCCATCGCCCTGGACCTAGCAGCTGATCTTGGTCCTGTCTTAGGCTCCCGTGGGGTCAGTGCTGCAAGCCAGTGGGTGGCTTAGGCCAGCCCAGCAAATGTTAAAGCAACTGTTAAATGTCATTAAAAGTCAGTGTGGCACTTGGACGGAGTCACGCTTACAGCAGAGGGGGAAGTAGCTGGATCGTCCCAAACTCTGAAAGAAATCTGGTCATAGTCGAAAACGAGTAAGCCTGAGCTTCTAGTGAGATGCTGTAGGAACGGAGTTTGTCTGATTCCTGAGTGAGGAAGACAATATGGACAAGAAAGCAAGGAGCAGTGGTGGGGATGGTGTGTCTGTCTTCGGCGTTACAGTACTCTTACTGTAATAGCACGGCTAGCTCTGGAATCCGAGCTTTAGAAATGAAGTTGAAAACCCCCCGAGTTTCTAAAAGGCCTGTGCGAAGGAGTCAAGGTCTGGAAGAGCTGCTTAAGAGTTAAAACACAGAGGAGCCTTCGCTATCTGAGCCTCTGCTGCCACTGAACGGACAGCCTTGCCTCTGCTCATTCCTCAGCTGCGTGTTTTTCTCTGCTCACGCAGCTATGTTAGCGCTGTTGGCTGAGCATTTTCCTGCCGTTCGTATATTCTGAGTAGCACGGACCTTGGTTTGTGTGCAGAGTTCACAGAACTGTACTGCATGGTGTGCTGAAATGTTTGGCTGCGCGAACGTCGGCGCTTGCAGCCGGGTCCCAGCCCGTGTGGGCCAAGGCACTGCTGCTGCTTTGCCTACTCGGAGTGAAACTGATGGCATTTTCTCATTGCCTTCTCTTTAGAGCCTATAGAGATGGTTTTCTGTTGTTTTTTTTTCAGATTAATTCTGTTATTCTAAAGGAAGATTTGAGAACCATGGTAGAAAATTTCTATGCAGCTCTGTTTGGATATGATGAGGTAAGAAGGATGTTTTCAGAGAATGTGCAAGAACAAATAGACCATCCAATTCATCAACACAGAATACTCCAGATGGGTAGAACATTTGCTGTGCATATCTCTGGAGAAATGTTACGTTATGGAACCAGACTTCTTTGTTATTGCAATCATCTTATGCCTGGAATTGAAGTGCTTGTAAGAAAAAAGAAGGCACACGGCATACTGATTTAAACCGTGGGACGTGGAAGAAGGGATCTTCTTTGTACTGCCTCACCGTCACTGCTTGGCCATCAGTAAATCATCTCCTCCCTCTGAATCCCATCGTACTCAGCTGTGCTTTGAAAGCAAAGAGAGTATTTATAGGGGGTATTTATAGGAATTTACAGTATTTATAGGAAGTATTTAATAATATGGGGAGGCAAGAGCACCACTGTGCAGAAGTGTCTGCAGGACTTGCAAGAAGAAAATACATCATCTCTTTTAGCAGTTATTTTTTTTTTGCTCTGGTGGGTGTTGTTCTTCAGATGCTTTTCTCATTCACATAGTGATACTATTTTTTGCACAGTGATTTGCATTATTAATATCTTGTAAGCTTCATAGGGTTGTGGACAGTGTTATGCATGCAAGTCTTTAATTGAGTTTTAAGTGTAGCCAGGATGTATCTGCCTGTGTCTGTCTTTTTTAATTTTCTCTTTATGTTGATACTCGTTCTGGAAACAAAATGTCTAGTTAAATTAAAGACACGTGTTGGCCTTTTTTATTTTTAACTGAACATTTTGAAGTCCTCTCTTGCCTTTGGCAAATGTGTCAGCAGAAGACAGGAGTTATGAGACGATGGTGATAACACCACCTAATCTATAAAGACAATAAAAGTGGGAGACAATTTAGACAAAAAGCGCTCATGGATGTGGTGCTTGTATAAGCCAAATTTAATACTAGATTTAACTAGGAAAAGCTAGATAGTTCTTAATGAGGAGGAGTTATCTTTCTCATTTAGAATGAAAAATAGAAAAGCAAAGTAAAATAGTGAAGTCCTGACTACATTTCTGCAACATTGTATTAAATACCCTTTAATTTTTTTTTTTCCAAGTGTCATGGGCTTCACACAATTAGTGAGGTGGAGCTGTCTTCTCTGTGAGGCCAAAATTTTTATGGTAAAGATTTCATAACACAGAAATGCAGTTATTGGCTCCTACATTGGGAATACCCTGACCCATTGTTTTTCCAGATTAACTTGTGAGAATGTTTGTTACAGTCTGATCTGTAGATGAATTTAAGGCCAGGATGGGTCAGGGTAATCCCACACGCAAGTACAGGCTGGGTAGAGAGTGGGTCAAGAGCAGCCCTGAGGAGAAGGAATTGGGGGTACTGGTGGATGAGAAGCTCAACATGAGCCAGCAATGTGCACTGGCAGCCCAGAAAGCCAACCGTGCCCTGGGCTGCATCAAGAGAAGCGTGGGCAGCGGGTGAGGGAGGGGATTCTGCCCCTTGACTCCGCTCTCGTCAGACCCCACCTGGAGTCATGTGTCTGGAGCCCCCAGCATAAGAAGGACCTGGATGTGTTGGAGCGGGGCCAGAGGAGGGCCACGAAGATGATCAGAGGGCTGGAGCACCTCTCCTACGAGGACAGGCTGAGGGAGTTGGGGCTGTTCAGCCTGGA